TCCCCCTAAAACTGATGCTGCTTGGGAAGCTTTTCCTTGGGAAGCTGCATCTTATCCCACTAAAATTGATGCTGCTTGGAAACTTTTCCTTGGGAAGCTGCATCATATCCCACTAAATTTGATGCTGCTTGGAAGCTTTTCCTTGGGAAACCACATTGTGTCCCCCTAAAACTGATGCTGCTTGGAAGCTTTTCCCTGGGAAGCTGCATCTTATCCCACTAAACCTGATGCTGCTGGGAACCCGTTGCCGGTGGTTTTGCTTTCCCTGAGGAGGCTGGAAAAGGGTTTTTCCCTCCGGAGCTCTCGCGCGTGGCCTTCAGGAATAACTTCCAGAGGGGAGGGATTAAAAAAAAAGGTGGATACAGGAAGAGAAATAGATATATTTTGGGTAGATATATTTATTTTTAACCCCTCTCCTACTCCCCCAAGTTTTGTGATTGGAATAGAGCAGGAATTTAGGAGCCAAAATCATGGAGAGGCTCTTCCTTCCTTCCCTCCTTCCATGGCTTTATCCGGAGTCTGGATCCCTTCCTTATTTTCCCTGTTCCCTCACAGCTGCTGGATTATTTTGATCCGCTCTCCACACGTGTTTTTAATTCCTTGAAAACTCTGCACTTTATAAATCAATAAAAAATTAATTTTGGTGGTTTGTTTCCTTAAAAACCGCGGGAATTCCGTGTGGCTCTTCGGAATCACACGTGAAAATTCCTCCTTTTTTTTATTCTTTTTCCCCTATTAGTTTTTTTTAACTCCAACAAAACACCTTGGGAATTTGGGAAAATGAACAGGGGCAGTGCCAACCTGTAATTCCTGAGCAGATCCCTAAATCCCAGCGCATCCCAGAGAACAGGAGGTTTTCCCTGTCCCTGTCAAACACACCCACGTGCCAGGAACGATCCCTTTCCAAAGGGTTCAGAGGAAGGATTGGATTTCTTCCCGGCTGGAGAGGGAAGGATGAAGTTCTTGGCTCTGATCCGTCACTCCCTGTTGGAATTCCAAGATCCTTGTCCAGTCTCAGGTGGATTTTGCTGAGGCTTTGGAAGCTGGAAGTTGGCTCCCTCTTAAGCCTGTCCAGCTTTTCCTTCTCCTCAAGGAGCTGCAGGATCGGAGAATTTGGATTAAATTAAGTGGGAACTCTGCATTCCAATGGATTATTCCCAGCTCGGCACTGCCCTGTGCCCGCTCCCTGTTCCAAGGGTGTTTGCAGAATCCTTGAATTCCAGAATGGTTTGGGTGGGAAAGGACCTCAAAGTTCATCCCATTCCAACCTCAACACCTTCCACCATCCCGGGTTGCTCCAAGGGAATCCACCCCAGCCTTGGACACTCCCAGGGATCCAGGGGCAGCCACAGCTTCTCTGGGAATTCCAGCCCAGCCCCTCCCCACCCTCCCAGCCAGGAATCCCTTCCCAATCTCCCACCCAAATCTCCCCTTTCCCAGTGGGATCCATTCCCTGTGTCCTGTCATTCCAGGCCCTGATCCCAAGTCCCTCTCCAGCTCTCCTGGAGCCCCTTCAGGCTCTGGAATGTTCTCCAAGCTCTCCCTGGATCTTTCTCTTCTCCAACCTGGCCATTCCCAGCTCTCCCAGCCTGGCTCCAGAGGCCAGGGATCGGCCACAGCTCTGGATCCTGTTGGGGCAGGAGGAGTTTTAGGGGCAAATTGTGTTTCCTTGGCTTTGTCCGTGTTTTGAGCAGTTGGAAAAGGTCTCGTGGGAATAAATGACCTTGTTCCACCATGAGGAGGAGGAGGAAGAGGAGGAAAAGGAGGAGCTGCCCTGAGAGCCTTCCCCCTGGAATTCCTCCTCCTGGTTTAAATCCGACCCTCCAGTTTGGGAATCAACAGCTGGGCTGTGCTTTTCCCTCCCCAGCCCCTCACCCGTTATTCCATAATTTTATTCCCATTATTTTGCCCTCTCCGACAGGGACAGGTGGATGCCGTAAGCGCCTTCCCCCTGGAATTCCTCCTGCTGTTAATCCCATCTCCAAGCCACTGGAAAAACTTCTGGAATGTTCTTCCCAGGGTCATTTATTCCACAAGCCATGGCTGGATTCCAGCCCTGTCTTTGGTTGGAATGCCGTAAAAAAAAAAGGTGGAACAGGTCAGAGATCCCAAACTTCCCGTCTGGGAAAGGCACCATGGGCAACTGCTTCCCAAATCCTGGAATCCCGGATGCCCAAGGGCTCCCACCCACCCTGGGGGGTCCTGGGCCAGGAGTGGAGAGGAAGAAGGTGCTGGAAGGAGGTTGAATTTGATCATTCCCAAGGAAATTCTTGGAAAAGGCAACTTGGCCTCATTATCCCAAGCAGGACCAGGAGGAGAATCCGGGGATCCAGAGGGATGTGAGCCCTTCCCTGCTGGGAGAGACAGGGATCAAATCCTTCCCAAAGCCCAGCCCTGCTGTGGGAGGAAGGGGAGAGAGGTGGGAACAGCCAGGAAAGATCCTCCATGGGCAGAATCCCGCTGGGATGAGAGGATGGACACCACCCTGGGAGACATTCCAGCATCCCCATCCGACTGGAGAGAGCTCCGAGTCCCTTCCAACCTCCGTTATTCCCGGAAACTCGGCTTAAATTTAACTTTTAATCCCAACTCTTACCCGGCAAAGGTCTCAGCTCCCAGTCCTCGTGGTCTCCTGGGAAAGGATCAAACTTGGGAAATGCTTGGGATGGACAGAAGGAGGGAAAAAAAACCCGGCACAAACAACCGAACCCAGGGAAAGAATTTTATTGGGATTGCAGGAAAAAACCCCACGGGATTTTAATGGCAGGAAAAGCCAACAGCATCCCAAAAATGAGGTGGTTTTTTTCCCACTGGGCTGCTCTGCAAGATTCCCAAATTCCAAGCCTGGATTGCGACCGGAGACACGGAACGTTCAATGCGGCTCACCAGGCACCTGGAACATTCCCGACCTCTCTGGAGTGGGAAAACGGGCTGTCCCACCTCAATCCATGGAATCAGGGAATATCCAGAGCTGGAAGGGACCCACCAGGATCTCCCAAGTCCGATTCCATCCTATTGCTGGAAGCAAATCCTTGGCATTGGCGGCTTTGGTGTTTGGCTCTGGGCTGATTCCCGGGATAGGCATCGTCTCCCGGATCCGCCGGAGCCTCATTCCAACCTTTTCACCATGTAGGGCCCTTCCAGCTCGTAGCCGATCTTCCTGTAGTAATTCCTGGTGCCAACACCTGGGAGAAGAGAGGGACAACACGGATGAATCCCGTGGGATAGCAAAAAGACTGGAGGAACCGGAGCAGGGCGGTCGCTTCCAGGCGGGAATGGAGCCGGAGCGGGGGTGGATTAATTAGGGCGCTAATTGGGGTGATTTTCCGGCAGGAACAGCCGCTCCTTTGGAGAGAGGGAGAGGGAACGCGCGGATCCAGGATCCAACAAAACCCCTGGCACAGCCGTGGGATCGTTGCCGGGAGCTGAAGGGCCCCACAGCCCCCGGAGCCACTTCCAAGGGCTCCCGGGAAAGTGGGATCCAATTTCCTCATCCCGCTCTCCCAAGGCCTCTTCCCTCTCCTGCCGCCTCCGGGAGACCCCGCGGAGGGTGCAGGATCCTGCGGTTCCCGGGATTCTGGGGTACGGCAGCAGGATCTGGGGGCAAAGCAGCAGGATTTTGGGGTAAAACACCAGGATTTTAGGGTAAAGC